AATAAATAATACGCTCTTAAGGACTCCTGACAAAATGTTTCATGGATCAACCACCGCGTGTTCCAAATTTACAAACCTAAATTATATACAGTAGTTGAATACATGCAGGAAGTGTAGCAGCAGAATTATGAGCTCAAACTGATATACGGGTCATATCAGCACTGCAGAAGCTGACACCATCTGTACACATTTGAAAAATCAAAATGTTAGCTACAAGAACTGACACAAACCAATTTTCTGCAGGAACAAGAATAATGTAGTACTAATAAAAGCAAGGAGAAAATCTTTTGACCCGTATTAGTTAACAAAACTGGAATCTTTTCACAATTGACAAGGTTTTTGTTGACAATTAAGATTAGGATCACTAGTAATTAGAGTCAAAAGAGAGATGAGAATTTTAACTAAGATATTGTCACATGCTATTCTGAGGACAATCCTGACTCAATGATGAAGTTGTCCTTCTTGACTAGTTAGTTGTGATTTCAAATTTGAAAACAGTCTCTGCATAAACTAGAAGGTTGTTAAATTGAATAAGCAATAAGAAATGGTGGGCAATTACATTGGAAATGGTAAACACTTTCCAACAGCATTCTAATTGAAAAAAATATTCTGTAAACACAAGTTTAGGCATTGATAAATTTTCTTGGTAAGGAAAAGGAAGCTTACCAAATGTGAAGCGTCTTGCATTTTAGAGCCTTTATTGCTGCTTTTGCAAACACTCGTGCAGCCTCTGCCTCGGCTTCTGCAGTGTCTGCCTCCCTAGCTGCTGCCTCAGCCTCGGCAATGGCAGCTTCCGCCTCAGCAACTGCTTTTGCAGCAGCAGCTGCTGCTTCTTGTGGTGTCACACCCTTCATTTTTGATAGCTCTGCATCAATTTCGGATTTTGAAAGAATGTTGACACCATTCTTCTCAGTTTTTGGAGAATCTTTGGGCCTTCCTTCCAGGAGTAACAAGGAAGAACATCTTCTTTTCTCAGATATAGTTAAATTTGTTGCAATCCTGTACTTATGCTTTACCTGTCATTACTCGTTAGATATGTCTCACTCAGGATCAATTGACCAAATACTGATATTAATCACATACCCAATATTTACCTAAAATTAAATTAGCATTAGACGCAAATATTTTATCAATTCAAAATTTGAAATAGATTTATCACTCTTGCGAAAAATCTGTCAGATATGCATAGTTCAACTACTACANTTCTAATTGAAAAAAATATTCTGTAAACACAAGTTTAGGCATTGATAAATTTTCTTGGTAAGGAAAAGGAAGCTTACCAAATGTGAAGCGTCTTGCATTTTAGAGCCTTTATTGCTGCTTTTGCAAACACTCGTGCAGCCTCTGCCTCGGCTTCTGCAGTGTCTGCCTCCCTAGCTGCTGCCTCAGCCTCGGCAATGGCAGCTTCCGCCTCAGCAACTGCTTTTGCAGCAGCAGCTGCTGCTTCTTGTGGTGTCACACCCTTCATTTTTGATAGCTCTGCATCAATTTCGGATTTTGAAAGAATGTTGACACCATTCTTCTCAGTTTTTGGAGAATCTTTGGGCCTTCCTTCCAGGAGTAACAAGGAAGAACATCTTCTTTTCTCAGATATAGTTAAATTTGTTGCAATCCTGTACTTATGCTTTACCTGTCATTACTCGTTAGATATGTCTCACTCAGGATCAATTGACCAAATACTGATATTAATCACATACCCAATATTTACCTAAAATTAAATTAGCATTAGACGCAAATATTTTATCAATTCAAAATTTGAAATAGATTTATCACTCTTGCGAAAAATCTGTCAGATATGCATAGTTCAACTACTACAAGAAAATATGTCTTTTTGCATCTGTAGATACATGTAACCAGTTACTTAGGTGTAACAAATGATTTTTTTGTTCATAACCTTGAGTAAATAACATCAATACGTTGTTAATAATGTATCTGTCATACAATAACTAAAATTTATCCAAGCTGACTGTGCTTCATTACAAAGTTTTGTAAGTAAAAATGCTGCTTATTAGGAAAATAGGGTCCAATAATTCAAGCAAAATTCTGTCTTGTTAAGAAGTTAACTAACAATAAAATTACCTTCATTAATTTTCCACTTGCCACCATGTGCTTCAGTTTTGTTGACAGTAACTTTCTGAGGGTTGGTGTAGAACAGTATTGATCCTGATGAGGTGAAAAATTGTCATTACTTCCATGCACTGGTACTGACCAGCACAAAATGAAACTTTTAAATTGATATTATTTACTGCATTTAATAATTCTATAAGCCAATCAAGATTACAAAAAGAGCAATAAATATCAAATTACTATTGGTTGATCTATGCTAAACATTTCCGAAACATGGGTGAGCAGAAGAGTTAGTAGCTTTTAATGCTTGACATGTGAGACACCAGCTTGGACTTGGAAAAAAGAAACATTTAAAAAGTCAAAATCTTTTGATAGCCGCAGAAAGGAATTCTCGATTACATGTCATAACAAGTTGAAATTGTTGATGGATAATAAACAATTAGCAATTTTGGTAAGACAAAATAGCTAATTACAAGTTTATTTGACTAGCTTATAAACAAGTTTTACCAACACAAAAGTGTTTGGTAAGGTACTTCAAAGTAACTAATTTTAAGAGTTTATAGCTAATAAGATAGAGGTTCCTTTCACTAGCTTGTAGCTTATTTTATTCTATTACTATCATTTATATTTTAATACATTTCCTTATTATTCTTAATTTCTTTTTACCTATGATCACCTATTTTGAATGTTACATTGACAATTAGTCATCACAATTTTTAGTCTTTTTAGTTCAAATTAAAAAAAGATTTAACATTAAAAATGAAGTAACTAACCTTTCTTTACATGATACTATTTGAAAATCATACAATGAAAATTAAAAAAAATCACCAGTAGTTTAAATTAAAAATTAAAATTTATGTTTTATAAGATAAATAAAAATTAAATTTCATTAATACACATTAGATCACCTAGTATAAACTAAATCCCTTTTCTAAATCCAAAAAACATATAGGACATTAAAAAAAGAAATAGAAGCACTAAAATGTTTAATAAGAATTTACTTATTTGTTAAAAATTATAAAATTATAATTACATAATATATTTTTGTCTAAAAAACACAAATCCTATCTATACAATAAAATTTATGTACTTATGTTCATTTACAAGCTAACTTATCAGCTACTAAATACATCCAATATCTCACTCCATGGACCACCCAGAGAAATATTTCAAAACTTTTTCCTGAATTTTGTTGTGTACTGCAAACTAGATTAGAAAACACGGGCACATACATTTCCTTTGTCACATATAAGTAATAAATCAATCAATGCAAAATGTCTACATGGAAAGATATATTATTTGATAGCAGATTAATGAATGCAGACAATTTACTCTCTAATCTTGAATTAAATCTTTTCATGAGAGATTATCAGGAAAAAAAGAAGCCAACCACAAAACAAATTAAATATTCTTTTAGAATTAAAGTTTACATGCACTAACACTTTGATCATCATTTGTTTCTTGAGATGCTTAGATTCTAGTACAAATACCTCAATATATGAAGCAATTGCTGCCCTGTCAGAACCCTTCGGCTCCTTCAACTTGATAATAGACTCTAATATAATATTATCCAACCTGACATTATTAAAAAGCATACAGCTGCTGTCATTGAAATGCATAATGTCACAATTAACAATAGTTTTAATATTTTGACAAAATTACCACAAAATTTGATGGAATATTGTCAACAGAGATAACAACAGAAGATAACTATTTATCAATAGGCAACTGAATATCATACTTTCTGTGTATTTTTGTCTTGCTAGGTTCAAATTCATCATAAAATTAAATAAACAAAAATCAACAGAAATGAATAATCAAAATACATGATTCCTCATTTCTAGAAACTTAGTTTAATTTTCTATTTATTAAAAAACCATTTCTAGAAACTTAGTTTAATTTTCTATTTATTAAAAAAATTGTATACTAGTGCACTGTATTGTGCAATCTTAAACCTAATTATACATGTTTCTTCATACAGTTTTTAAAAAATTAACTCAACTAAACCGAGTAGACCAATTACTAGTCAAGAGTAAATGGCAGATATATTTAACTGGAAGTTCTGTAGCCTTGATACTTTTTCCTTTGAATTAGGAGATATTGCACCAGAAACTGCCAGAGGTTTGGGATCTGCTGCTCCTCTGTCACGTTGAACTGCGGTACTCAAGGCCATGTGATTATTGTCAATTTTTGGGGATGGTAGTAGGTTCTTTTTAAGAGCAAGCTTTGCCTTCTGCCTTGATCCCCATATTGCTGTCACATTTATGTTCCTCCATTTGTCCTGTTTCACGGTTTAAAACAGTTCATCTTTGGTAAGTTTTACAGAAGAGAGAAGCTTGGGAGTTTCCTAGAGAGAAGTTGGAGAATGAAGGTGACTTCGGAGGAGAATATGAGTGAGTGCAGGTGCAAGGGGTTTTTTTTTTTTTCTAAAATTTAGAGTTTTTGTACTTTCTTGTTCGTTTGAACGAACGTTTTCTCAAGCCGACACCTGCACACCAACTCTTGTCAGGAAGCTTCTTCCGCAACACGTGGCGTGCTTGCATGCAAGGATTGGTGCGTTTTTAATGCACTGAGTGCGTGTGACGTGGAGCGGTTTCATAGAATTATGGGGGCTTGGTTTCAGTGCACTGCAGAGTGATTTATCAGCTTTTGAAAGTGGGTTTTTAATGAGAATAAGCGTTGATTGTGGTGTGGATTAATTATGATGACAGGGAATTACTACTACTAATAATGTAGGGTTTCACAATTGACTCCCTCTCCTCCTGGGAACCTTCCTCCAGACTCTCTCCGCCGAGGGCGTCGCCTGGTCCTCTGTAAATTCGTTCTCCTCCTCAACTCGACGATTCCGTTTCGACCCCGATTGGCGACTTTGTGCAGAGGTTTTCGACGCCGTCTTGGAGCGATTGGTGGAGCTGAAGGAGTGGTTTGAGGTTCAGATTCTGTATCATTTATGTTCTGGTGTTCTGTTTTGGTGTTCTGTTCTGGTGTGTGAGAAGGAGAAGGGGAATAACAATGAATGATTGAAGTGAGAATCATAATGAGTTTTCCCACTATGCCCTTTCCCTAAAGCTGATTTAACCTCATACTTTTTAATACAAAACTTTTTTTTAATTTCACCTGTGATTACTGAAAACACTGCCCATGCCACGCAACGAACAATTAAACGGCTGTTTGTTCAATTTGATGGTAGGCCTTTAATTGCTACAATTTTACAAAAATGAGGACCCAATTGAGACGATAAAAAGAAAGGGGACTTAATTGAGATTCTGAACCAAAATAAGGACTTATAGAGACATTAAACTATTAAAATACACTTCATGTATACCTTTTTTATACTCATAAAACCAACTTAGTTTGTAACATAAGGACAGTTTATATGGTTAACTTCATATAAGTGAACCAAAACTCACAATAAACATTAAAGCAAAACAATAGAATATACTTATAAAGCTGGAGTCAATTTGTTTTTCAAAATTAGCAATTTGAGTTTTTTTTATATATATAAAAAGGTTATTACTAGTTAGTCGTGTGTAGCATGATTTTTACTTTTAAGAGTTATTATATTCCAATTAACTTTTGATTATGAACAAAAATTCATCATTCTCGTATGACTTTAATATAATTAATTTTAAAGTAAGTTGTTATTTTTTTAATACTTTAATATAATTAATTTCAAATTAAAGTTGTTATTATTTTTAATGATGTTAATGTAATTACTTTGAATTGGAGTTATCATCTTCTTTAGTAATTTCAGTGTACCAAAATGAATTGCACTAAAATCGTCAAAGAAAATAAAAACTTTGATTCCAAAAGTAATTAACTAAAATCATTAAAAAAGATAACAACTTTAGTTTAAAATCAATTATATTAAAATCAGGATAAAATATAGAAAAATGTTTTTTTAACAATTTTTTTTAATATTTTTTTATAATAATTTATATAGTAGTCTGTGGTTGTTCCATTTCATATATACTTAGTCGCACATAATATCCGGGGTTCTAAAATATATACTTTAATGTCATTCAAATATAGGATAGACTTTTTCAAAACAAGATTAAAAAACCTACTGTATGTCGTTACACTGAAATATAACACTTTCTTTTTCACATGCAATATTCACACTTAAAACAAATAATTTCAATTATGTACATTCCGACTTTGGTCTTAGTGTTATTTTGTTTGATAGTTATGAAACTATAAAGAAAAAGAAAAAAAGGAAAGCAAAAAAGTTGCACCTATGTTTGACATTCTACCTTTTTTAAGTTTGAAAATTAATAAAACTTCCTCCTATATTTGAATTCTGGTGGTCCTAGGAATATATAGAAATTGGTCTTTCCTCCCTTGAGAGCCTTTGCCACCGCAGGTGAATACCAAGACTAACCATATAATGGAGAGAGACAACATAGATGCCCATAACAATTTAGTTGAAAACCTCTCATTTTGGCTTGCTTGATTGAGACAATTTCAGCAACTTTGTTCTTCACAACTGTGCATTTTGACAGTGTTTGCAATTCTGGATAGATATCCAGCAAATCCTGGATGGATCTGCTGTAGGCATGAGCCATGTTGTAATGAGGCTTCAGGAAGAACCTTCCCTCTTTTTTTTGCATTCTTCTCCTGTGCCCTCTTCGTGACAGTGAATTTTGCAAGAATCTACACCAAAACGCCTTTTATGAACTATGAGTGTGGTGTTGCAAAAGTAACAAGAGTAACTAGTTTAGTGAAGACTTACTTTTGATAAATCACCAATCCTAATGGCATTATTAGGGCAGCTTTGTGGAATGTAGTTAAGGTTTGAGGGTCCAGGGAAAGGGTCACAAATTTTTATGACTCCCAATAGTTCTTCATTTTCTGCACTTACTCCTAAGACCCGATAAATCACCGACATATTAGAATTCAACTGATACACAAAACATCATTGTTAGAAGTGGAAGGAATTAATTATTTCCCTTCTAAATTCTGAACGAAGAAACCAAGTTTTCTACCTCAACTACAAATCTGTGGATGGTGTAGCCAATTTGAACTATCAATTTCCCAGAGAAAGATTCATTCATGCATGGCAACATTGACCCCAGGCTACTGTTTTGTGGGTCTTTTTCGAAGTCTTCAAAAGCAGTGCATGCATCTTCTGCAAAGCTGCATGCATATTCACACAGCGTCGTGAGACTTGAAAAGAGGATTCTTTTAGCCGAATCAGAAGCATGATCATGAGAGGTTAAGGTACTTACGTGTGAAGGAAGAAATCAAAGCCAGTCAAGAACCAGCACAGGCTTGTTAAGATCCAAAAGCAAAAAATTATGCTGAAAATAATGCAGAAAATGAAATTCATACGCGTAATGTACTGTTTATTAAGTGTTAGTTAAGAAATTACGGTGGAAAATGATACTGTATCTTACATTATAAACCCAGGACGCCAATACAGCAGCATTAGAACTGAGTCAAAAACAGCAAATTGAGCAAAAAATTAATCGATCTCAACAATACTGTAACGAAATTAGCATCATAACCAATTGTTTAATGATTGGTACCTATTGCTGCAACCAGTGTCACCAAGTTGACGGTTAGAACAACGAAATGTGCTACATATCTATGTCACATTTAAGATTATAGGAAATACAAAAAAGTTTGAATTAGGAGCAATAAATACAATCAGCATGAATAAAATAAGAGATGCTCAAAGGGAAAACATATATACAATGTATGAGTAGCCCGGTCGAATGATTGTTCACTACTGTCAATAAAACGGCGTATCACACGCGAGTTAGTTCTGAGGTCTTGAGTGGTGGAATTCAAACTCTCACACATTGCGGATTGGTACTGAAAGCAAAAGAAGCTGCATTTGGTTCGTTGTTCTTATTACTCTGCCTAGGGTCCCAAGAGCATCTTCTCCTATACCTACCACGGATTCTTTCAGTTTTTCTGTCCTCTTTAGGGTCTTCTGACTCGTTGCCATGACAAAACTTGAAGCAATTTCGTCACACCACCCCAAAATCGCCTTAATTTTGAATTTTGTATAAGAATGTTACGTGTTTGTATAGTCTCAACGAATTTTCATGTCACGAATTTTCAGTTTATCAGTTTATAATAAAGAACGTGGTGGTGTTGAAACTATTGTAATTTGGATAATGAAATAATGTCTCTAATAAGAAAGGGAGACTTACATGGCGAGAGATGTGAAGAAGAGAAGTAGAAAGAAAATGTGGAGATGGTAATGGTCCAAACTAGTTAATGTAGCAGAGCCACCGCATAGACACTTCACTATAAGGAAAATGGCCAAAACCAATCCACATAGCAACCAAACGCAGGCGAATGCGTATCCATGGACTCCTGTAAATGCCGCAGACTGAAAAGGATCAGAAAGCAAGTGTAGTAAACATAAATATGATGATCACACGCACGTTTTGTTTTCTAAATTTAGATTAAGTTAAACATAATGGCACGTTTAAAGAAATAGAAAAGAGAAGTTTGAAGTGATCAACAACTACTCAACAGCCACGTAATGGTTGTTTCGAAGGTCGAAACCTCCATTGTAGTCTTTGAAATGTTGTAAGGGATCGGGTCTATGGAAGGTCCTTTCATGAACGGGGGACCCTGAGGCTAACGATGTTGTTTGAGACGAGAGCAAGAAGAAAAGAAGAAATAAGGACGCGGTTGTTTAGTTGAGCATGAGGTTAGTAGCTTTTTCTTCTGGTTTTTTTAGCGAAGGGATAAGAAAAGACGACATGTGACTGAAAATTGTGACAACTTTTTGTGTGAGAAGTGTGACTTACTAGGTAAGATAAGAATAGAATAGCTTGTGGCATGGTTTAGTGCAACATTTTTGTTACGTGAAGGAAGGACAAATGGCAGTGTTAGAGATGGAGGTAACGAATCAGAAGCCGAAATAGTTGGTTCGTCATGTGCAAGAATTGACCACTTTTAACTGTTTTCCTCCACGCATGCATGCTGTGCATGCTCTATTCCAGCGTTCGTGTCTTTATGTTTAAGTATCGTTAGTTTTTATTTTTATTTTCTCACATTTGCTATCTCTATTTTCTGTCGTCTTTTTTCAACTTGCTAGTTCAAACTACACACATCACAGAATGAACAAAGCAAAGTGGTCTATGCATATATACCTTTCTTTGGAATTGGCACGAGACACGAGAATCTGACATTGCACTTCACTCCGCCCTGCACTTTACATCATTTCGTAATTTAAATGTATTGAAAGTTCTACTCAAATTCTCTTTAATTTTTTTTAAATTAAATAGCTTCTTTGGTGCTTAAACTTTCATAAGATGCCTTAAAACAAACAATAATATTATTGAAGTCATGTATTGATCTAATTGGATATGTAATAAGAATATGCAAATAATTACTTTTTTAAGATAAATCGTGTTTTTTATAAATTGAAATTAAACTTATATATTTAATTGATTTGTAGGAATTATTTTCATATAATTTATCTCGATTATTGTTTATTATTATAATTTTTAGTGTATGGAAATTTAATATTAGTAAAAATAACTTTTTATAATGATTTTTTATATCAATTATAATTCATTCCGTATATAAAGTGATGCGATATAAATATAAATATTATAAAACTTTTTGTACTGGTTGAAGCTACAATTGAGAGTGGATATTGTTACATTTTTGTAAAAGAGATACAGTTTTATATCAGTTCTACTTATAATAAAATAAATGTGGTAACATTTTTGCAATAAAATTATTTTGATTTAGTTATAACTAGTATATAAAATAATTTATTATTGTTTTTATTTATAAACATATTAACAAAGTTCTTAATGCCTTCTGTTTAGGGTTTTTTCTTCTCATTTTACAAACCTCATCTCCAAGCGAACACCCATGTCTGCTATCGTCATCGTCATTCGTCCTCTTCCCGGTCAAGGTCGTTATCGATACAACCCCATGGTTGAAATCACCACAGATGATATCATCGGCTCTTGCACGAACGTTGACGAGAATCATGACAGGGAAGGTGGTGACAATTTATTATAATCACTCTCATATCATATCTTATAATCTAACAACAAAGTCACTCCCAAATAAAATTTTCAAACCCACTAAACTCATCACGTGTAGGGAAAATCTCATCAATGGTGAAATTATCAATATAATTCTCCTCGCACATTTCATTTAAAAAAAAGATAATCTAAGATGAACCTATATTTATTTGTATTTCATAAACTTAAAGGATAATATTTCATCTTATACACCAGCACTTTAACCACCTACAACATAACATGAGCATACAAGACCTCACTTTTGAATAATAACAACTAAAATGGAGATTAACAACAAATTCATAAAACCAAAAGTAAAATTAAAATAAAAGTGAATAATGTGGTTTTGAAATCTAGAAGATTCTTAGCCTGATATCAAAATTGAAAGATGAAAAAATCAGATTTGAAAATTTAGGAGATTAAACCAAATTTTGAAATCTAAAATACTCCTAAACTAGATTTCAAAATTCAAGAAATTATAGAATCGGATTTCAAAATATGATGTATTCATAAATCGAATTTCAAAAATCCGGATAGTCCTAAACTATATTTTGAAATTCGAGATTCTTATACACCAAATTTCGAAATTTGTATACACTAAATTTCAAAATTCAATATTACCACTTCAAATCAGGTTTTGAAAATTAATAAATAATTACGATTATAATTCGAAAAGAAAAAAAAACCAGTAATAAATGAAGAAGAAGAAAGTAAATACATCCCTCTAAGCTTTAAAAAAATAAGCGTTAAAAAAATAAATAGGAAAAATGAAAGCTTTTAGAAGAATAATTTCATTGCATAATACTCCATGCAAAGAAAACTTACGTTGAATGCTTCGTGAAATGACTTTAACGTGTAGGAACAGTAAATATAATACCCTCGAGCATAAATACGATAGATAAATAATTATAATCTGAGGGTTTAATTAATTTTAATATTACATTTTTTAGTTTATATGGACATCACAATTATATCTTAGGTGGCAGAAGAAAAATTCGGGTACAAGGAGGAAAACCCCATCTTGATCTTATCGAACATGTGTCAATCATGGTTGTTTCATCTACACCTCAACATTCATTTGTATCTTCAAAATTACTGTTTTATCTTTTAATACCATCTCATCTCATCCAAGCCATCTTCCATTTTTTTTCAAAAAAATCATTTCTAACTTAGTAAATATTATTTTAACTTTTTCTTTTTCCAGCACCACTTTAACTCTACACTCTTTTAATAAAAGAATTTAAAACTTTGTTTCTTATTTATAATTTAATAAATATGTAATTTAATTTAAAAATATAATATTATTTAATGTATTTTCATATTTTAATAATTATTAAAATACAATTTTTATTATTATAATAAATATCTTTCACCCAATTCCTTTTTTTTCCCCAACTCCTCCTCCCCCTACGCACCCCCCCCTACTACCCTACTACTCTACCCTCTGATTTACTATATATACCTATCTTCCCTTATCTAAAATATTAAAATTACTGAAATAAGATTTTCGATTTCTTAATTATATTACTTTTTAATTTTAATTGTTTTAATATTATTCAGTATAATAATTAAATTCTCATTTAATAGTTTATTTAATATACACATATATTAAAATACGCTAACTGTTTCTATTCAAATTAACTAGTTATAAATTTAGCCATAAATAAACAATTTATAAAGATTTCTTTTTCGGACTGGAACTCCGATCATCGGATACCAATATTCGGATGATTATGTTTGTTTTAATTTTATTTTTTATTTAAAATTTAATAATAATTTAATTTAATTTAATATTTTAATATAATTTAATATTTTTATATATATTAAATCAGATTTTATATTATTTTTTTTTTTTTTTATTACTTTTATTTTAATTATAATCTTTTTAATGTAATTATTATAATAAACAAATTATATTTTAATAATTATTAAAATAATTATTCCCCCGTACTCCCTTATCTTAGATTTTTTCCCTTTCCCTTCCCTAGTTCTTCCCTTACCCTCACCCCCCCCGTTTTCCCCCTTTGGTCGGGGGCTTCCGTTTTTCCCGGGGGCTATGTCTACTTCCTATCCTCCCCCCGCGACCCCGTATTCCTACCGTTCAGACCCCTTCTCCATATTTCCCCATGTAGGATGAAACCTGGAGGTATAAGGTAAAATAGCTAAAATGACATTTTTAAACAAAATTAAAATAATGCATGATAGATGTTAAAAGGTTAAAGTTGTAATTTTTGGAGATACAGATAAAATATTGGGGTTTAATGTTTCAATAGATCCCTATTTTCGTCCCGAATTTGAAATAGGTCCTGTTTGAATCTTGACTTTTATCAAACTCCGTCAATTTTAGAAGACGCGTTAATGAGTGTCTGACGTGGCGTGAATGCAATTTTTTAATACTGAGAAATAAAAGAATGTATTAAATATATCATAATACATGTTGAAATTGATTAAAGAGAGGGCAAATATGGAAAAGTGATAATGTTTTTTTTGCTGACAAATCAAAATCAAATTGGGAATTATTTATTTCTATTAAGGTCGTGTCGTCTCAGAACCTCCCAACAATTGCTTCTGCAGAATAATTGCATTCCTCAAGGCCAAGATATTATCAAATCCGAAACTTCTACCGGCGAACCGCCCGTGATGGAGAGGATGGTGTTTACCACACCGTTTACTATATCTAACTCACTAACAACGAATCCACAAGTCGGGAACAAAGGAAAAACATCGCGAAGCGAAACCCTTTTTCACACCTCCCAGAATCACAGGAAACCCCAATTGGTTTCAACAAATGCCCCCAAAGTTTTTCTACACTTAATACAGATAATCATGGTCCTCCATGCCCAAAACTTCTAAGCTCTTTTGCAAAACTCCATCACCGCGCCAATGGACCCCCTGCCAATTCTTCGGGCTCACCAACTCGTTGAAAGTTGATTATGGTCAATAACGCACTATTGCCCGGTTCAGCGTCCGTGACGAGTGGTAGATCGAAGCCAGCATGGTGGGGGCATTAGAGGCTGCGTAAAGCTCTACAACCTAGAATAGAAAAATCTCCAATTTGATTTTGATTTCTCAGTAAAAAAAATATACTACTTTCCATATTTGCCCTCTTTTAATTAATTTCAGCATGAATTATGATATATTTAATACATTCTTTATTTCTAGTATTAAAAAATTGTACAGAGCCACTGTCGAGACATCACCCCGTTTTCTGAAATTGACGGAAAGAAATTTATTTGCATCAAATTATCAAAATTAAGAATCTAATTAAGACTTCAAAAAAAACAGAACTTATTTCAAATTCGGAACGAAAATAGGGATTTATTGAGACATTAAACTCAAATATTGGAGGTGTAAACACCCTAAGTTTTTTTGTAGTATTGTCAGTATTAAAATAAGTGAAGTCGAACTCATGTAAATACTTGTTTCTTCTCGTGTCGAATAAATTGGTGCCGATTCATTATGATTGCTATGGAACCAATGACTGAAAAAGAAATCATGGTCGAGAACATGTGATTTATACTAGAAATATTACTTATTTAACAAATTATATAACTACTAAAGAGAAAGATGTACCAAATATAATATATTAATGTAAAAAATAATAATGATATGATGAAGAAAGATAAGAACTTAAGATATTATTCTAATGGGAAGCTTAATGGTCGGTGGTTTTGGATGTGTATTTTAACAGTTGTATATCAATGTTAATGTTTGATAATATTAAAATAAAAGTGTGTATTTTTTTTTCCTTTAAATTGAGCAATCAAATTAGTTTAAATTCAATAATTGATTTAAATTGAAGCATCGAAATTAGTTTAAATTCATAAGTTATTGTTTATCATGTTTTGTGTAGTTAAGTTTAAGAATATTTTTTAAATATTTGTTTAAATTGAACTTAATTCACAATCTAAATAGTTTAAACTAGGTTTAAACGAGTTAAAGTAATTATCTATATTAATTCTCGGTTATTTTTTTTGATTATAATTGTTTTCAATATTAATATGTAGATGATAATTTATTTTTTTAACTATTCAAAAAATATTTGACACTTGGATTTTCACTTACTATTTTTATGATAATTCGTTTAAGGTAAGTAAATTTTATTATATTATTATAACCTGATGAATTTAGTTGATTACAATAAATAATAAAATAAGTTGAAATACATGAATTATCTTTATGATTAATTTGTAATATAAGTAGTGTAAATTAAGATTCAAGAAATAACCCAGTTTAGAAGGACTTCTTACTATAAGTATAATTGAATGTTTAATATTTATAGATCAAGTTTATTAACCATAAGTAAATCAAAATGTTTGAATTGATTCATATATTGTTTATTTTATTAAATATGTTATTGTAGTTTGAAAATATCACCTTTTCTAAGTTTTCTTGTACTCTTTTCTTGTTGTTTATTTTTAATCACTTAGTTTCTTAAGGGTTGAGTAAGGACCAGTGCTTGTACGAGGATTTGAAAAAAAATTGTTTAATTACACCTATCAAATTAGCTTCAATCAATTTCTTCCTTAAATACAAACAACGAAGGTTAAATGTTTGATGATATGGAAACGTGTTTTCTGTAACAAATATTGGTCGTGACGTGTAATTGACTTAAGTGTGGACGTGGAAGCAAATTATGATAGAAGATAATTGGGAAAAAATAAACCTTACTAATAAAATTAAGAGTTTTATGAGGACAAAAAAAAGACATTGTGATAGAGCATTGTTGAGTTCGTCATTTCTTCTTATCTACATTACGAACATAGAGCAATCGCATATAGGGGTTTCGTTCACATAACCACATTGGGGATTTGGGACGCAACATTTGGCATTGTTGGGTGTTGGTGGGGTATTTTGAAAAGCGAAGTTTGTTCCATTCTAAGGTACGTGTTTGGTACCTTTCATTCTGTGTATGATTGCTTTCGTTGTGGTTCCCCATAGAGTTTGATTTTTGTTTGGTTTATT